TTCTATTCTATTCTATTCTATTCTATTCTATTCTATTCTATTCTATTTCTTCAACCCAATTAAAGTGATTGCATAAATGCAGCCATACTTTATTATGCGGAAATAGGATTCAAACCAACCCATTGTTAGATTCATACTATATGGAAGAAGTGACGAGTCCATTCTGTTCAGGCATTTTAATGATTTAATTCCAATTTAGAGATTGGTTCTTATTAAGATGATTGAATCAAATATCTGAATACATGAATGCGAATCAGTTTTCTGATTCAGTTTAGACTTGAGTGCTTGTTATCCCTACTTTGGGAGTGATGAGCTTGTAAGGTCTTTTCCATCGCCACTAACAACAGCTGGTTACTCAAATTCATAAGGGAGATGAGCCCCCCCCCCCACATTCATTAAGGCTCTCAGTTTCTAATAGAGAAGTATAGACCAACATAATGAAGAGTCAGTATTGCTTTGTGATGTAGAAGAGCCCCTCCACAGCAGGGGTCTCCAACCTTGGCAACTTTAAGCCTGAAGGACTTCAACTACCAGAATGCCCCAGCCAGCAAAGCTGGCTGGGGTATTCTGGGAGTTGAAGTCCTCCAGGCTTAAAGTTGCCAAGGTTGGAGACCCCTGCTCCACAGCACTTGGTTCTGCTTCAGCTACATGCACTACAATGCCAATTAGTGATAAGATATCACTACTGTGGGTGAAACTGGCAGTTATTTTGTGGGATGTTGCAGGGTATTCTCTCCCTATTTAACAAATAAACAAAATTAGTGGATCAGTGAAATGATATGGACTTAGATTTCAGTAAGGCATTTGACAAAGTAGACCACAACCTACTTTTTGGGAAGCTAGAAAAATGTAGGATAGACAGATGGATTTGTAGCTGGCTGACATTTGTTGTGTAACTCTTAATGGAACTACATCTACATCTTCAGTGGGGTACCTCAAGATTCCGTCATAGACCCATTCTGTCTATGATTCCGTCTTCAACATCTTCATAAATGATTTAGATGTGGGAATAGAACGGGAACTCATCAAATTTGCAGGCAACAACTCAATAACTCCTTCTTGCTTAAAAGTCTGTGCTGACCAATTGGCCCCCATCTTCACCTGAATCTTCAATAAATCACTAGAGATGTGCTATGTTCCTTCTTGCTTCAAACACTCTACTATCATCCCAGTGCCAAAGAAGCCCTCCATCAGGGAACTGAATGACTACAGACCAGTTGCTCTAACATCTGTAGTTATGAAAACCTTTGAAAGGCTAGTGCTGTCCCACCTGAAAACCATCACGGATCCGCTGTTAGAACACATGCAGTTTGCATACTGAGCAAATAGATCAACAGACGATGCTGTTAATATGGCTCTGCACTACATCCTACAACACCTTCAATCTCCAAATACCTACGCAAGGGTCCTTTTTGTAGACTAGTTCAGCATTCAATACCATCATTCCACACATTCTTCTAAATAAACTAAACCAGCTAGTGGTACCTGAACACACTTGTAAGTGGATCATAAGCTTCCTAACAGACAGGAAGCAGCAGGTGAAGCTAGGCAGAATCACATCTGATACCTGTACAGTTAGCACAGGGCCCCCCAAGGCTGTGTGCTTTCTCCACTTCTCCCTCTATACCAATGACTGCATCTCAAATGATCAATGTGTTAAAATACTGAAGTTTGCAGATGATACTATAGTGATTGCTCTCATTCAAGACAATGATGAATCTGCATACAGACGGGAGGTTGTACAACTTGCCTTGTAGCCGGAACAATCTGGAGCTGAACACACTCAAAACCGTAGAAATGGTGATAGGCTTTAGGAGAAACCTTCTCATACTACCACCTCTTACAATACTAGACAACACAGTATCAACAGTAGAGACCTTCAAAGTTCTATCATAGCACAAGACCTAAAATAGACACCTAAGATCAAAAACGCCATCAAAAAAGCACAACAAAGAATATTCTTTCTGCACCAATTCAGAAAACTCAAACTGCCCAAGGAGCTGCTGATACAGTTCTACAGAGGAATTACTGAGGACTTCCAGTTTGTTTGTCGTCAGAATCAGAGCAGAATCTGCGATTGTGCGCGTTTTTGCCCCGGGCTCACTTGCTGGAGGGTCCCAATTGAGACCAGAACCACCCTGGAGGGGTGGTGAAAAAGGGGGGAATCACCTGGAGGGTGAGGGGAACTGCAACTCCGCTCCCTGAAGGAACCCCCCCCCCAAGGCATGCTGTAGTGGTGGTCCTAAAATGGCTGCCACAAAGATGAAAAACAGTCCAGAAAACTAAGACTGTGCTGGAGCAGAGAAGCAGCAAGCAGAGTGTGAACCAGGCAAAATACATGGATTTTGAGGTACCACGGTATTAAAAAATAAAGGGCTATTTTGGAGGAAAGTGTGGAAATGGCGACCAGAGAAAATGAGAAGGAAATTGGATTTTATAAAATTGGCTTGAGTTATTGTATTGGATTAACTTGGAGGAGAAAATTTAAAGGAAAATATTTGAACACAACAAAGGTTTAGAAATTAAACTAGACAACTATTGGACTATTGGCACTTAAAGAGCATAACTAAATGCTGAAATTGAGTGTGTTGAAAAGAAAAGAAATAATAGCTAATGGTTGAAATTAGCAAACTTAATAAATACTATATTTAACAAAGAAAGTTAAAGTTAAGGAAGGAGTGGATTGTGGAAAAGACTCAAGAACGCCACCTGATGGTACAGGAAAAATTTCAGTGACTCTTTAAAAAGTGCTTGGTCTTTCTAAGAAATTGGACTTTGGAATTTAAAAGAAAGTAAAAGAAACTCAATTATAATAAAATAAAAACCCTGGAAAGTGACATTAGAATATTACAAAGGGGAAGATATTTGAAAATATTGTCATAGAACCAGCTGGTGACTGTGGGAAAAAGTTTGGAAAGTGTCAATTAGAAGATCTGGAACAAAGACTTAAGGACATTGATTGTTGAAAATAAACTTAAAAGATACTGGCTGAAATAATATACTGGACTTTGGGATTGAATACATCTATTAAGGAAGAGGACTACATCTATTAAAGAAGAGGAAAGAAAAGGAAAAAAGGAGAAGATATAATGGAGAATGATTTGTTGAAATAAGATTGGACTTTCAAGATATAAGGGAAATGATGCAAATTAAACTTGAAATGTGCGATTATGTATTACAGAAATTAGAAATGGTGACTCAGCTTGTAGAAGAACAAAGTAAACCAGAGGGGGAGGAGTTTAACAAAGAAGAAGCCAGCTTTGAAGAAACAAAGGGAACAACAATTATTTAAGCAGGGGGGGAAAGGAATTAAAATAAAAAATGTGTGGTCTGATGTGATAACAAAAGGGAGAATGGTTCGGAAAATGAAAAAAAGGAGAGGGAAAAAGTAGAAAAGGGAAGTACAAAAGAAAAATCTAAAGAGGCAGGGAGATAAACTTAATAATAGGAATGAGAAATGGAGAGGATAAGAATGGGGAAAGGGGGAATAAAATAAAGATAAATAAAGAGAAACAGAAAATAAAGAGAAACAGGATGCAAACAAGGATGAAAAGAAATTACATTGTTAAAAGAGCAAGAGATAATGGGTGAAAAAAAGGATAGGGAAGGAGATTCCGCAAGGTAATATGTTGTGATATATAAGAATAAGTACTGAAAATAGATAAGTATGTATCTGATATGGTTTTT